AAGACACGGGACGAGGTCGTCCCGTCTTGATCCCTTTTATTTTTTTTAAATTTTTAATCATATTTATATAATATCATTTTTTTTAAGATTTCAAACTATTGTATGGAACTATGAACCCATTTATTTAAAGCTTTTATATTTGTTGATGATTTGAGACTATTGATTATTAGAAGTTTTAACAAGTTTTTATTGTGTTTAAAGCTTTTATTAGAATTTTTAATAACTATTATATGTAATATTTTAGGCTTTTATTTAAACGTGCCCAAAGAAATAAAAAAGAAAACAAAAAGATGTTTTTACAAGGGCTAAATCTAAAAATTACAATTAGAAAAAAATCAGATTTTATTGTGCTCAACAACTCAAAAAAAAATAAAAAAAAATTAAATCAGGACCTGATCGAGACTGGGACAACACTGGAACAAGACGAAACATGGGACAACAAAGTTGGCTGATGCTATTTATCAGGATGAAATTAGGACAAGCCTGTCCCGTTTCCGATCTCGATCCATCCTGTAAACAGCTATAGTAATATTATTTTATAATTAAAATATAATACTCTATGATCTTTTGAGACCTGTTAGTGATATTTCATAAGACTTTTGATGAATAAAATCTCTTCTATAAGCCTGTACGAAATTTTTTGCTTTATAAAACCCAAACATCCCCTCAAACAAAAGCGGCTTAAACCCTTCCTTCTCTCGTCTCCTGGCGTCCCCTTGCGGCCCTCTCCATCACTATTCCGGTCTCCATTCAGTCGAGAGCTTCGCATCGGCGCTCCGCCGCTTGATTTGGTCTTCGTCCCTCAGCTTCTGTTCTTTCCTCGGCTCCGTCTTCAGTTCGTCACTCCTCCTGAAAGCTGCTTTTTAGGTGCGTGGTGTTGCTTTCACTCTCTCTGTAAATTAAATGTATATGAGGATGACTATATCTTCGTAGGCTTCAGATTTAAGTAGGCAATTGATAGAATGTGCATTTATTACACACGCACGCGTAATGGTCTTATGAACATTGAATGTGATGACAGCAGAAAGCAATGAGGAAGCTGAAGTTTCATGAGAAGAAGCTATTGAAGAAGGTAAATTTCTTAGAGTGGAAGAGAGAAGGAGGTCACAGAGAAAATCATGTTATGCAACGCTATCGTATTACTGGACGTGATGATTACAAGAAGTACTATTCTTTATTACATTATATTTCTCGTTGTTCTGAATTTGGATAATTCACTGTCTTTGAAATTAACTAATGCAATTCATTATTTTGGCCATTGGGATGGTGAAACTACCAATAGATATTCAAGTCTGTGCCGGATGGTCCAAAAGTTAGTAAACATGCTGAAGCAAATGGACCCAAAAGATCCGTTTCGTGTTGAGATGACTGACAAGCTGTTAGAGAAGCTGTAAGTTTTATTAGCTATGAAATTTCCAAATTTTGACTGGTAAACTGACTTAAGCTGCATGTGATATTGTTTCTTATTTGGTAGGATTGAATCAGTATGTGTTTGTGTGTTTGTTAATGTTGGTTTAGGATTCCTTATTCATCAATATGTCATTCATTAGTTTCATTTCAACTTTTTGGCTTCTGCCGCATGCATTTGGAATTTGGATTACCAAAATTTATCGTGAACATGGCTGCAAATTGCATGCCAGTTGTTGCGCAATTTGTGACTGAAAAACTCTAATTTGTCTCTCACAACTCACTTCTTCACTAAGCCTAGGTAGGCAGAAGGAAGGCATGGGTTGCTGGTAATAGATAGTCTTGTTTTGAGTTTTAGGGATTCCTAAAATGTTGGAAGCGGTAGCTGTAAAGCTGATGTCTATGGCAGTTTTTGTAGAGGTACCGTTGACTTGTGATTGTGGAGGTGGCAGAGGTCATAGTGGGGTGTTGGAGGTGGATAATGGCGATAAATGAAAGTGAGCGCATTAACCAGGGGATGTGTGTTGTCATATGCTTGAGAGATCAATATATAAAATCTAATAAATAATTGCACTATTCATAGCTTATGAATAGTGTGATATGTTTTGGGCTCTGCTACGCGCAGCCCCATATCAAGTTTAACCAAAGACATAACCATATATAATTGTTGGAATGGAGAAGTACCCGATTTATTTGGATTATTGTTCGATCCATATCCTGGAGTAATCTAGTTAGTTACAAAAAAAAATTCTTTGTCCCTTGTACTTTTGCTGGTTTACTGGATATTTTTAATCTTGTAGTTGAATTTGTTTGTTCTTTTTGACATTTTAGGATGGAGTGTGGGCGTAGATATTCATTATTTTCATTCTTTAACTGTTTGAGTTCAGAACAGTTTTTGATGTATCACTCCTACTGCTCTGGTTTATTAATTGTCTCATTGGAACACGTTTCCTACCACCAACATTTTGCAATGCAGAGAACCAATACTTATTCTCTCTCTCTCTCTCGTGAGAATGATAGGTACAATATTGGTGTGATTCCAACGAGGCAAAGTATTACACTTTGTGAGCGGTTAACAGTGTCATCCTTTTGTAGGTAAGAAAACCATCTTATTCCTTCGTTATTTTAAATGAAAAATTAATTGTTATTTTGTGATTGTTCTCCAAAAATTCCGGACGATTATGTAGCAAGAGAATGAAAGGGAGTTGATTTTAATGTTTAGAACAATTTTAGTCATGTTTAGAAAGAAAAAGGTATTATGATATGGTAGCATCTGTTAAAAGGTGTAATCTGAGGCTTAGTGTGTCCAGGAATGCAAGAAGACCTAAAAGGCAGGTTTTATATATCAATAAATGTGGAATTATGAGATAGACGTTTTTTCTTTCAGTGCTTTTCTTCTTCTTCTTCTTCTTTTTTTTTTTTAACTCCACACTAATCCAAGTCAGTTATGTTTCACAAGTCTGATAAAAGAAATAATAGCAAGGAAAGATTATGCAAATGCAGAGCATAGGGTATCCTAATATCCTCCAAAAGGAAATGACTGAACGCCTAAAATTATACTATTTCAGGTCCTAAATATAACATCTAGTTTGTAGTGTAAGGTTGGAGGTAGTAAGATAGAGATTAAAAGATAAATATGCAGCAAAGCTACCTAATCTTTCTTCATATCTAGCAGACTGCAGACACACCCCCATTATAAAGGCCCTTGGCCAAATATCATATAAAAGCTAAATTCATTATCCTAGCCCTTGAGGTAAACACCATTTAAAATGTGTGCTCTCCGCTTTGATCAAATATCCCCATATGTTGGGAAAATTGTGCATTGCCACGATGTTCTACCCTCCTTTAATCCAGAAACCTGGAACTATCTAATGAGTATCCCTCTGACACACCTATCTCTAGCTGACTCCGAACAAACAAACTTATTTCGGGAGTGGTAATGGCAGTGTAGTGTGAACTTCAGCTTCTGCATTGTTCATGCACGTGTTACCAATATTTTAGGAGGAACAACTGTGGAATGTCTGCAAATGAATATGCCTTTTGTATTGACTTTATTGAGTGTTGCTGTCCAAATAGACACCTTTATCTCTTATTACAAAGGAAACACAAGGTCTCAAGACTGGGATTAGGGAGTGACAAAGTGGGGTAGGGAAATGAAACCTTGTGCATCTTCTTTATAAATGAAGGCTAATTACGATTAACATGTAACCTAGAATAACATTATAAAATGAGACTAAGATTCCAATGTAATATTTAAATTAATGATATTGCTCCTAGTAATGATGCCTAAAGAAAAACATTCATTTTGTTTCCGTCTTTTACATATTTTTCCCTGTTAAATTACGAATATTACAGGGAATATTCATCACCCTTCTTACTGATAGAACCCCACCAAATACATTTTGAGATTATTAAGCTGCTCTAATTTACTTTCTTATAATTTTTTAAAAAAAAACTTTTGTAGGCGAAGGCTTGCAACTGTTTTGGTGCGATTAAAATTTGCTGAGCAGTTGAAAGAAGCTGTCACTTACATTGAACAAGGGCATATAAGAGTTGGTCCAGAGACAGTCACTGACCCAGCATTCTTGGTGACCAGAAATATGGAAGACTTCATCACCTGGGTGGATTCTTCAAAGATAAAGAGAAAGGTTCTACAGTACAATGACAAATTGGATGACTATGATCTAATGAACTGAGTGCTGATAATGGTGCATGGATTTCGACACCGCCAGAACATAGTGGCCAGCTACTTCGGAGATGAACCGTCAGTTCTTTATTTTATTTTTTTCCCCCCAAAAGGAGCACGACGTATTTCTAGTATTCGGATGGATGGAGTAAGAATTCAATTCCCCGGTGGTGTGTTATTTTCTAGCAGATAAGCATGTGTACGAAGTGAAATCATGACAAAAATTCGTTATTTGAATAAGCTGCCTAATATAGATGGGATTAAAAGGGCTTTTTAATCTATTTTGTAGGAGTATTAGGTGTCTTAAATGCAGTGTTGTCTTTTTTTATTTTAAAAAAAAAAACGATGTAATGTCACCTCTACTGTTCAATGGTAGCTAACTTCTGTTATCAACGTAGCATGTACTGTCACCTCTACTGTTCAATAGTAGCTACTTCTGTTATCAACGTAGCATGGGGTCCGCTTTTTTTTTTCCCCAAAATACCTACTCGGTTTCTCCTCTTCCTCCTATTGACGGTAACGCACTTCACTGGCAATATTAGTGGTGAATATCTCATGCAACAACTAACTAGCCTTTCTCCTTCCTCCCTCCGCAGTAACTCGAACTCGAGGATTTCAAGCCCATCATTGCTAAAAAAATATTTGGACCATCCAAAGTCAATGAGGTAATTGATCCCTAGAATTTGACCAAACTTGCTTTTTCTGCTGGTTAGAAGAAAAACATTTTCCCCTCGCTCTTCAATTTGCGAACCATTCTAATTAAAGCCTGTTTCCCATCTCCCATGAGAACATATGCGACGTACAATTTATGGCAACGTTGATTGGATGCGGTTGGGTTGCATCTCCTAATCTTTAATGCCGCTTATGTGAATCACTAAAACGCTGAACGATTAGAAGAAAACCCAGGTGCTCCAAAATTTCTTCCAAAAATAAATTACTTTGAAGAACATTCAACAATCTATATTCTGGCATGGTTCGTCACCTGCCATATCTCATACAGCAAGATGAAACTGACTCCCTTTGTTAAAATTCCAGCAAAAAGATAAGCAGCAAGCATGACAGACATTAAGCTCTGAACTAGAGAGGCTAGCATACAGCGGTTTGGATTTTCCACATTCACAAAAATAGATGGAAGGAAGGTAAGAATTTTCCTGGAAAGAAGTGACGAATGCCCTCTTTCTCTGGATATGTGAGTGCAAAGAATCTGATTTAAGCATAGAATCGCCTCTTTGGGGGAATGCTGATTCAACTATCACAACCCAAAGTCAAGTTCAGCTCGTTTCAACACAGCAGTTACTCTATTGTAGAATTCTGGTTCTTCTTTCTTTATATCATCTATTGTCCGTGACTCATGCTCATCCGCCTGAACAGATAAAGAACTAAATTATCCATCTAAATAGTTTAAAGCAATGCGAAACAGAGATCAAGGCATCATCTAAAAAAGGTTATCTTCGCAATGATTTTGACAACTCTGGTGCAAGGGCGAAGAAAGAGCCACGGCAACGAGACAGCGCCGAAAGAGTGCACTCTTGTCCACAAAAAACCCAGACATCTAATTTTTTCAGCCACTATTTCCCAATTTAGCAATCAGGTGTTTCACAGCTATAATTTCCCAAATGAAGTTGCATATGATTAGTTGTATTTTTCAACAATACCCAGAATCTGATCATTGGTTATAGCTAATCGGACATGATTTTGAATTTTTCATATATCAACGGCCAACTAATCTTCTAAATAAATTCCCATGACCTCACCATAAAATATTCTAGGAACGTATGAAATCCAGAGGTCCACTTTGCAAGTAGCACCTTAGTAACAAATGATGCTGAGTCCAGAAAAGTCAAATTCCGTGCTTGTATTGGCAGTGCCTTCCAGAGCTCTTTCTATTTAAATATGGCGTGTATGTAGATAGACATGCATAGAATGAATAGGCATTCAAAACAAAATAAAGCTGTCACTTGCAGGATGGCAGTTAATTACCTCCTTGAATTTTAAAAGAATTAGATTTGAAACAGTGGCTGGTTTTGTGCAATCCCACCTGAACAGCCGAAGCAGAAAACATTTAAATGAGTTCGAGTCACCAACTACACATGAAAATTTTATAGTAAAAAAGAGAGAAAGTGATTAAAATGTGGTGTAACATTCAGTTGTCATCCATCCATACAGCACTAAAGCTTTTAGACCTCACTTTCTTTCTTTCTTTTGTCCCTTTTTTTTTTTTTTTGGGGGGGGGGGGGAGTGTTTCAAGTGTTTGCGTGACATGGGCATTAATATTTTCAGCATGTGTAGTTCGATAGAAAATTACACTGTCAGTTCAAGACTTCAGAATCCTACAGATACGCCACCAGAGCACCTCAGGGGGTGCAGAATTAGAGTGGGTGTATGCAAATTAAAAGGAATTGGTCTTGCGTTCAAGAGAAAGAACGCAAGTAATTGAATAAAGATATCAAAATGACACAGCTAAAGTACAACAGGTCATTTTTTTTTTTACCTCACAAGCATCAATTCATTAACTGATCGCCACATCGCTCGGCCAACATGTTTTGCAAACTGCTCCCTAGCACTTCTTCCATGCCATAATTCTTTGGCAATATACATCACCTCTTCCACATCCACCTTTGAAGTGGGAATAAAGACAACAGAGGATAGAAAACATGTGTAACTCTTTCCAGTGGATAATTAAACAATTAAACAATCAAATATATATCTGTAGAACTAAACACAGGCATTTCCACAAAAAATTAGATGAAATCGTCATAGTAGTATTTAACTGCAGCCTTGCAGAATGCACAAAGACCACGTATTGAGGCATGCCAGCTGTTTTAAGAATCATTTAAATGTCCATTCATAATAGTACATTCACAACTTTACTTTAAATGGAAGAAATTCCGCTAAGGAGGACAGTAAAATATTACTTGATGGATAAACTGCCCTCGAAAAGAATAACAGGAAAAGCTCATAACAAAACCAAAGGAGCAAAAGGCTAGAATAGCTCATAAAAGCCAGAAAGCTTGTCAACCTCTGCATGTCAAAACATATTTCCTCATTTACCCTTTTGCAAAGCACCGATGGGAAGCCATATCAGAAATCCTATCCCATACTTATGTAGGGGTAATGGTATGCCCTTGGTGATGCAGGCGTTTCTACCAACCACATAAACAAAAGTATCCTGTAAACTGCAAATTGCTGGTCGCTTAAGTATCATTTATTTATTGTTTGGGACACACCCCCCCCCAAGGGGCATGCCAGCAATGGCATTTCAATTTCTCTAGCATTAGCTCAATTGCAACTCCTTCAATTTTGAACTGCTTGTTCAAAAGCCAAAGATATCAGCGCTTGTGGAACTCAGCCAATTATATCTCAATTTTAACATCCTTAACACACTCTTCAGAAAATCATGGCAGCATTGGCGTCCCAATTATGTCACTTTTTTGCCATCCCATTTTAGTTTTTAACCCGGTAAATACTTTGAATCAAGCCTTTCAACCTACCAAGAGGGGCCTAAATCCTTTATTCTCACAAAAGCTGAAAGCCCCACTTGAAATGATTGTGTTAAAAAAAAAAAAAAAAAAAAAAGACAGATTGTACAAGTAATAACACAAAAATACACGTTTCAAGAAACACAATGGTTTATACGTACAGAGAAGGAAATATGAATATATAAATTATTCAGATGCCCCGCTGTCCACCCATTCCTAGCATGGATAAGTTACCCAACAATAAACTTCTATAATTTGACCAGATGTTAATAAGGTAAATTCCATACCTGCACATGCACAGCTGAGCCATACAATGACTCCTCATGCTCAATTAGGCGCTGATGAAGAGTATGGTAATGATCCGTGTCAAAACTGACTACAGGTTCCATTTGAACTTCCAACCCTGCTAGTTGTGTCACAACATAGGAGGCCATGACTTGTCCAAATATTGCAGGGATGGAGCCCAGCACGGGTATGATTCGGACCCTAAAGCCTGGAACAATCTGGCAAGAGAATAAGATGTCAGCAATCTAAGTCATTGAATGTTTTGATAACAGACTCAAGGTGATCTCTGTTATTGAGCAACACTACAGAAATAATAATAATTGTCAAGGTGCAATCACATTACCAAACAATAGCAAATATACCAGTGGTATTATCAGCAGGTCAAAAATTAACAAAACCACTACTCTCACCTGATAGTCTGAAGGGTTTTCCTCTTCTCCACTTGGACCTTTAAATGGGAGCAACTTTACTTTGGGTTTCTCTAAAGAGAATACAACAGGAATACCGCCTTCAATGCCGTGATCTTTCCTCAAGCGGTGTCTTACCTAATAAGGGAATGATTATGTAACTATAGTCAGAAAGAGTAACAAAAGCAATATAAGCATAAGGGGAACATCACCCTAAAAAAGCTTTGCTCCCATGTTGGCTTTCATTTTCTTTTCATAACAACACTCATGTTGAGCATCAAGCATTGATATTCAAATTAGCATGAAGAATATGCCAAGAGGACAGTCTTGTCTAGATTACCCATGAATCTAGAAACTGATCTATAATCTATTGGTCTTCTAAAGATTCTTGCAGCCAAATGAATGCTAACCTTTTGTGTGAATGCACTTATGTCTAAGCATCTTATTGAGCATATAATTGAATGTGAGAGAAGGCAAGATATCGGTTTATACTAACATAGGTGTACTAAAATACAACAGAGAAAGGAGAAAAAAGTAGCACAGTAAGCTGCCAAAGCAATTTACATTATGTGGTTTAAGGTCCAGTTAAATATAATATTAAAAAAGAAAATGTCAAAGTATTACAGCTCGAGATAATGGATCATTAGTGGACTCTCTTAGATCAGCAATTCGGATTCTTGTTGGATCAGCCCTCGCACCAGCTCCTGTAGCAGATAGAACCTTCAATCCCCTACGTACACATGCAGCAAGAAGGGCCACCTATTACAACCCACAAATCAAGCAACTGAAAATGAACTCATAATTATTAGATATTTGCATAGGAATGATTGCTAATGACAACTTGAAAAGAGAAAGACGAGCAGAAGGTAGCACTGTGTTATTAGGTCTCATCCTTCCAGGAAGCAACCTATGTACACATCTACAATCTTGCTTGATGCATGCTCAAATGCATCTTATTTCTCAGCAATTCTCACATCTGAGAGCTAGCATTAAAGTGAATAAAAAATGATCTACTGATATAAAAGCAAAAACTCTTTTAACGATTACTGGGAATACTATCCATATTCGCAACAAAGCAGTAATTCCATCAAACTGGGGTATGTCCATGATGTATGAAAAGTTTTTCTTAAAAAGGGAGAATACTATCACACATCAACTAAGTAAAACATTGAGTAATTCAATAGAAGATACCTTTGTATCAATGTTGTCGATGCAGTCCAGAACAAAATCTGGGTGGCCTGAGAGAATTTCTTCTTCAGTAGATGCATCATATAATAGAACTTTCGCATCTACTTGGCACTCAGGAAAATAGAAGAGAAATGCTCCATGAGGCACTGAGCTTTTGGGATGCCAACATCTGCTCTTGTTGCAACAGCGTGCCGATTTAGTGAAGAAAGAGAAACCTTCTCATTTAATAAATAAATGAGTACATCATTGTATCAAGATATCCATAAAGATTCTAATGCAACTAAATATGACATCACATATACAACTCCTTCCTAATTGATTACATGTTTCAACCAAAAAAAAAAAAAAAAATCTACTATGGCTTTTTAAGTCATACAATGGCAGATACTAGGGTAAATAAAACAAAGGCTTGTAAAGGTTTGATGAAGCTTTTAAAAATAGTGAGCAGGAAGTTAAAAAGCAAAAGCATCAGTTGATATTTGATTTAAGTCCATTTTCTTAAACCAATAATCAACATCATTTACATCTTTATTCTTTAGTTTATCGATTTTTAGAACTTATATTTACCATGATATGCTCCTTATTACCAAGGGCCTCTAGCGACTGAAGGAAAATTGCTATAAATTAAACTTAACATACTGGGAACTGTTTGACAACTGACATCATGAAACATTATAATGTAATGTAACTTGGAACAAAAAACACACGACTTATGGCACTTCATAAATAAGAAAAATAAAAATATTGGAAAAACATACGTTAATTACAAACTAGACATCAGACAGAGGCTAAAACATTAGAAGTTTTCAGGTTCCACACTTTTAACAATCAAAAGGAAACAAAAAGCA